GTGCTGCTAAAAGCTTATGAAAGTCACTCCATGTAGTCCCTACACTCCATACCACCCCGACCCTTGGCAGCTGCTGCAGTCCACCTCTCCCTTCCATTGCCTACCTCCCCATCCCCAGCTCAGAACTTGAAGAGCCAGTGCTGGTGTTCTTGGTTCCGCTCAATATATAGTTTTCAAGTATGAAAATTAGCTTATATAACTACACCACTACCCCGATATAACGCGACCCAATATAACACGAATTCAGATATAACACAGTAAAGCAGCGCTCTGGGGGGGATGGGGCTGCGCACTCCGGTGGATCAAAGCAAGTTCGATATAACACGGTTTCACCTATAACACGGTAAGATTTTTTGGCTCCCGAGGACAGCTTTATATCAGGGTAGAGGTGTAGCATAAAATGTCACTCGTGGAGCTTAACTAGACATGGCAGTTGTTGACAGACTGATTCCTTTTTAAGTTGTTGTAAATCAACATAAATAAGTGCATCACTTAGTGAGGCCAAAAAGTTTTGAAGGAGCCCCTTGTTAAAATGACCGCCCCGCACCTGTAAGCGGAGGGGTATTTGGCTAGCTGGCCAAACAAGGGAACTGTGCTTTAGGGCTTGGGGGAAAGGGGGAGATAGAAAACTGCTGCAAAGGGTCAGTGAGGTCGCTGACTCATCCCCCCAGGAATGAGGCATTGAAAAGGGACAGCCCTGTACCTTAACCCTCCCTTTTGCACGAAGTGGTGTGGATCTGCGGGCACAGTATTGTTTTTGGGGAGCATAGGCACGCATCCAAGTTGCTCGAGGGTTCACAGCTGGGCTTCGGTGGTGAAGCAGTTCTCATTGGCGTGCAAAGAGGGGCATGTTATGGGATCAACTGATACAGCTGCTGTATGCTGTGCGGGCCCATCAATGGCCACCAGATATAATTGTGGTACACCTTGGGGAAAACAATTTGGGAATACTTAAAGGGGTGGAACTAATGCTCAGAACAAGGAGGGACTTGAGGCTGATCCTTGACATTTTTCCAGGAGTTAACATTGCATGGTCAGATATTCTTCAGCGCAGGGTCTGGCAAGGAGCCATGAGGCCCCCAAGGTGGACAAGGCCAGGAGGTATGTGAACAGGGAGATGGCCAAATTCCTGGGGACCGTAGAAGGGGCAGTAATTTCACATCCTTGCCTAGTATATGGAGCACCAGAGTTGTTTCGGGAGTTGTTTCAGCTCTCAGACTTGGGTGCTGTCATGTTTTTGACTGATATAAAAGAGGGCATTAGGTGAGGTCTGGGAACCTACTGGGTTTGGGAGGAAGCAGCCAAGCTAATGATTTTCGCCTCCTTGTGGCAGATGTTCAGTGCAGGTCCATAGGAAAGGTATACAGTGACCGGATAAATGGTTTGGAAAAGCACATAAAAAGAGGTGTTCGGTAAAGGAGCAAACGGGGGCTGGTTGGGGACTGCTATGATTGGTACAGCAGGGAGCCAACCCCTATTATTATAGCCCACCTTAACGCTCCTATGAGGACGGGGTGGATGGTAAGTTCCTGGCAATGGATTTGCTGGAGGGACTGGATTGAAAAAGGGGGAGCTGATAAAAGCCCCCTGGTTAATTATGGAATAAACATGGGGTTACCTGCACTGTACACTTTTATCGGCCAGGTAGTCCCAGACATCTGATAATAAATTTGCGGCCTGATTAAGCCTATGTCAAATATCTCCTGTCTTTTTTCCGGTATAGCCAGACAATGTTGGCATCTCATGACTGCCCAGGTTGAATGTTGAGTACAGAAGGAGCCAGTCACTGAACAGTAAACATATATTACTTGACTGCTTTATTCACTTTGCACCTGCCAGACTGGATGTTGAATGAGGGAGGAGGATCCTATGGAAATATGCGGAGATGCAATTAGGTATTGTCAAAAATGCATATGCACAAGAAGATAGAGATGTGATTGTGCATGCAGCCTTAAGCATTTTCTGATCGTTTGAGTTTCACATTGCAACTTTTACATTCTTTTAGCATTGTTTTAGTTTGACATATATTGGATAGAAGACAGCTATAGAAATACCAAAAAATAAAATAATTTCTGTTCCTGCATATCTAAGTAAATATTAGGTTTTGTAAGTGTAAACTTCTTGATAGGGAGCCAGGAAAACCAGATTTTATTGTTGCATGTCAGAAACTTCCTTTATGACTTCAGGTAAGTCACTGGGGCTAATCTGTGCTTCAGTTTCTCAGTCTGTAAAATGGGGATAGTGTCTACCTTTGAAAATACTATGAGACTTTTGCATGAAAGACACACATTAAAGAAAAGTGGTACAAGAAATAGTATGGTTTCATATGAATAAATATTTACCATTCCAGCCTTTTCATAAATAATCAAATTTAATGATTTTTTTCCTCTATGGATAGATATTTTTCCTTCTAAATTAGATTTTCTGTCAGTGTTTTCCATCATGTAAAACACTTACGTTCAATTTGTTTTTCCATAAGCCCGGATATGCCAAAAAGTCAAAAAATAGGAAGTGTTTAAGGATAAGAATGTCACATTGTATGTTTATGGCTGCTATCTCCTAATGTAGATAGTGTTTGCAGGTATTTTTTCTATAAGAAAAATGTGAGTATTCCATATAAACTGGCAAATAAACTTAGACCCTTTTCCATATTTACTTGAATTAAAGAACACCAGATGTTGCACAGAAGCTACTGCTGCTTTGTGAACTTTATGGTATACACTTTCTAAACCCACAGGAAGCGTCTGAGGGGGAAAGTATATTAATTAAGTTCAAAAATACATTTTCCAGCTATAGAAAAATCTCCAAAGAAAATACCTTTTGATCTTCAGCAATGTAAGCAGGCTGTCCCAGCAGTCTGGGAGCAGCATGCACCATTGTCACATGGGATCTGGATTCAGGCTTCAAGTTCTCTAGGCCAAACCAGCCTGTGAGTAAGCCAGCTGAGGCCCATTGGAGATGGAACATGTATGTCTCTTGGACCATCTCCTTTGGCCAATGTTCAGAAAATCGCAGACTGTCTGCAAAGGGAACAAAATAAATCTGTTAGTCTTTAAGGTGCCACCAGACTCCTTGTTGTTTTTGTAGATACAGACTAACACGGCTACCCCCTGATACTTGACACCATGTAAAGGGAACAGTTTCCCAGCTCTCCTTGACCTGAGGAAAGATTTCTGCAATATAGGGGACTTGGGAAGAAGGGAAATTACTGTCAAGCCCAGAAAATCATCTCATCAAACAAGAAATATGACCTAAACAGTATGGTCTTCTGCTAAGATGTTGAGTTTCCCTCACTATTTTGTAACATTTTCCCTAGGGCTGGCCAGAAAACATTTATTTCCAAAGAGGTTAGAGAGTTTGAAATTTTGTTTTTATTCGGATATGGAATGAGGGGGAGAAACCCACCAAGTGTTGCTAGTAGCTTGATGTTTAGGGCACTCACCTCCAAACCAGGCACAGTAGGAACTTGAACCTGGGTCTCCCACATTCCAGGTGATAAATACTGGGCTATTAGCAGTACTGGGTTTGGTGTTTTTCCTCCTTCCTTTCCCCTCTACCCCACAAAATCCATCCTGGATCTGAGATGCCTTCCCAATCAGTTTTGCCCATTAAGAACTTTTGCAGTAAAGTGAGGACAACGTTGTGAGTGAAGAACAGTCTTTCTAATAACTGTGTGTTGTCTTCCAACATATGAAGAACTAGGAATTGAAAATCACAAAGGTAGGAAAGGAAAGAAACATCATCCATAGTACTTTTACCCTAATTACTATAAATTCCCCCTCTTGCCTCCATGACACCCAAATTGTCTTCTGCCTCCCTTCTCTTCATACAAAACACACAAACCCCAATATCATCCTTGCCCTTCAATCTGACCATGTTACCCTGCTCTTTAAATCCCTCCAGTGGCTTTCCTCTGCTCAGCTGCATCAAATTTGAGCTTACTTTTGCCTTCAAGACCCTGTATAACTCTGCACCTTAACTCTTATCCACCCTTCTCTTTATCCATCTTCCCTTATCTCCTCTGCTGTGCTAACAATGCCAGCCTCGATGCCTCATTCCACCTGCTTCTCTCACAAATTCTACTCTCTATTCCTTTAGCCAAACCACCCCTCTTTGAGCTAGTCCACAAGGTTGCTACCTTCTTAACTTTCAGGAAGTATCTGAACACGAACTTCTACTGTGACTTCTACAGAAAGTCAGGTGGTTGCTTATTACTATTAATCCACAGCCTTGTCATAACCTCTATGAAAAATACAACACACTTGTGTTTTTTAAAAACTGGGTTACTAAGATGTGGCCATTTGCTACTTTGACTACCTTACTTAGATATGTACACTTCTCCTCTACCCCTTCGTCTGTTTGCCTTTTAGACTGAAAAGGTCTTGGAGACAAGGAGCAATGTTGTCTCATGTTTGGAAAGCACCTAATACATTGTGAGCACTATTGGAAATAATAGTAATGACTTCAAAATTTAGTCTCTAGAGCTCTATCAAAAAAGGAAGATGAACAATATTATCTGACTTAATAGTAATTATCCCTCCAGCCAAGAGGAGGTGGCCTTGTGTATACAGTCCTCTTCAGCCTTTTTTTGAATTATTGTAGACCAATATAGCAAATATGCAGTGAATGTAAAATTGTAGTATGTTGTTCAAGCCTGGAAGATGTGCAGACAATCTATTCTTAAACAAAAATATCAACAATATCACTCATGTTTAACAATAGGGCAATTGCAATGGTGCATATTTGTGATGTTCTTATCAATAGCCTCATAGTCAAATTCTTTTATGCTCCTTGGGATGACGTGACATTTTAATTTAAGACAAATGTGTGGTGTGCAGGCCTGGTAACATTTAAACTTGTATTGTCTTGGGGTTTGGTTTGTTTTTTAGTGGGCTGGGAGGTCCATAATCTGTCACTATTGTATCTTGTAGTATGGATCAGGCAAATCTACACAACCACCTTATCACCATATAACATTTCTTATTTATTTTTTTATACAGCCAAATTCCACTGCAGCTGACAGAGCGACTGCTAGACTAGCAACACACCCACTGTTAAAGACAAAAATTGCTGATATTAAAGGTATGAAATAGACGATCTCATCTTGTTCAAATTCCTGTATTTATTTATGCACATTATCTTGTTCTATCCCTAAAAAATGGTGTTTTGGAAGAGGTAATATAATTACACTCTGTCTCAAATAGGGATATTTGCCTTAGCCACACAGATTAATTTTAAAGGTTTTACAATTCTATTCTGAACACCGAGGCTCCCTTTATTCTGTAAGGAACTGAATTTTTAATAAAGAGAGAAAATATAAATATATGTAGTGTGTCAATAATGAACTGGCTTATTATAACCTGAATATGTTGGTCACTTTTGATTAATATTAAATTGCTTCCATATTTGTGTCTGCTTTTTAACCCACAGTAGTAGTATTTGCTATTAGGTGTATGTACTGTTACACACTTGTATTGCCAAACTTAAGCCAGCTAGCTGAGATGAAGTGTCAGACCTAAAATAGTTTTGTAATATTAACTACTTAGCTGGTTAATAGGTGTAAAACTCTCAATCGCATAGCAGCTAGCAGAGAGAGGGATTATATGATTCATAAAATCCAGAAGTCTCTGCAAAATTGGTGCTGAATCATATTTAGGGCAGCACCTATATTGACTCTATAAAGACTATATATTGGAGGTATTTAAGGCTGGGGTTTTCAAAGTATCCTAAGGCAGTTTGCACTGTTTCCAATATGGACATAGCGTGCTTTTCACCGCAGCACTCACATACCCTACACACCACCGCTAGTGGTGTACAGTGTAGACGTAGGCTAAAAGAAGGTTGAGGCACGTTGGTTTTGCTCGCTGTTAGGCAGAAAGCAGATATGGAAAATTCCAGGCCAAAGGGTGAATGTTCCAGGAAAAAATTAGCTTGTGAAAAAAGGTTATGGTGGAAATAACCTTAGCTAATAACAGGCACTGCTAGGTGCCTATGATTATACGTGTGTGTATGTGTATATATATATATATATATATATGTGTGTGTGTGTATATAACGTGTGTTTACAGTTTTTTCACACTCAAAATATCACCTGACATTAACTTGAATCAATGAAAATCATCTGATGCTGAGAAGTTCACTACATGCAATAGGAGCCCTCACTCAGTTCTGATTTCCCACTTTTCCTCTTTGACATTACTTCAAGCCATTTTCAGCCCCTACTTTTATTTTCTAAATGATCTAGTGAAGGCACCAAAAATCTCATACTTGTTCAGCATAGTGGATCTAACTTGCAAACTTAGTGTCATAGCCACTTGAACGTTGGTTTAACTAATGTATGTACTGTTGTGATACTGCAATAACTCTATTTGCTATTATTTTTGTAGCTGCTGTAAAAGCCTTTAAGGATGCAAGACGGAAGCCACCTAAAACTCAATCTTCAGATGAGCATAAATCAGAAGAACAGCTTTCTCAAAAGCCTAAATTGAGGCAACATTCTAATAGCAATGTAGATAACCAGACACATACACTGGTTCTAAAACAGCAAGAAGCTAAAACAAAGGTGAATGTGAAAAAAGCCACTAACATAGAAAATAAACAAATCTGCGAGAGAGAATGTGAGCAGAAATCTTCAGAAATTGAAAGAACAGATTCTCCGAGTGATTTGTCACTACAAACGTCAGAAAAACATGCCATAGTTGAAGATCAAACAGAACCGACAATTGACTGGCCAAAAAGAAAAAAACTTACAAGTGCGAACAAGTTCAGGATAACAAACAAATCAAACAGTGATGTTAGTGATATGGAAGAATTTGATAACAAGGAGTATTTTGATGACAGCACGGAAAAGAGGTTTTATAACCAGTCATCCGATTCTGAAGATAGTGATAGCGATGATGATTTCTTCATCGGCAAAGTAAAGAAAAAGAAGAAGAAAGTGGCAGATAGTGACCTTTCTTCAGCAAAGGAAAAGAAATGTCTCAAAGAAGCATTACTAAACAAAACAAAGAACTCAAAGTTTACGACGATGCAGGATGTGATCACAGAAGAAAGTAAACCAAGTGCAAAAGCAGTGAAGTTGGAATCAGTATTTTGCAATTCTCTGTCCAGATCTGATCAGAAATACAAAAATATGAAGAGGTATTCTTTTCCATTTCCGTTATAGAAATTATAGAGTAATTATTATGACTTGTAATATTTCCATCAACTGAGCAGAATTTCAGCCAATCACTGCTCAGAGTATTTGGATTGGCATTTTGTATCCAGTCGCATTATTCTTCCTTGACCGTTATGCATTTTTCAAATTCTTCCCTGCTCAGGAAAGTTATTTGTGTCAGTATCAATAGAAAGTCCTAAAAAGATGCTCACAGCAATGTTAACTGCTCCTGACCTTCATAAAAGCTGAACTCAAAAGCTCAAGATGAGCCAACAACCAAAATCAATTATATACAAAAAATATAAATTATATATAGTTCTTGCATTGGTTTACATGTCAGTTTCACTTCAGTGTTAACCAATAGCAAAAGCTGTTTATTGCACCATACCGTAGTACCATGTAGATTATCCAGCAAGTATGGTGGAGTTGGCCATTTTTTCAAACAAATCTTTTATTTATTATTCCTTTCTTGAAAGATCTTTAATATTATTTTCTTGTTTTTTAGAAATGTTAACTATCAGACTTCCAAAAACAGAAGAACAGGTATGTGTCCATCGTACTGCTGCTCCATTTGAATTCTTTAAAATGCCAAAGTAAAACCTGTCAAGCTATACTTATCCCTGTAGGGCTAATCACAGTGAGGTATTCTGTTTTGTTTCATATTTCAGTTTAGGACTTGTCTGCATGAAAACAATTAGTTTGCGGCAAGCTGGGGTGGGAATCTACCCCCCTCCTAGCCGGTCATAGACCGTCTGTGTGGACCCTCTTGACATGCATTAACAATATGTTAATGTGCTTTGGTTTAGTTCCATTTCAGAGAGGACTAGATCAAAGAATGTTATCAAACCATAAATGTGCATCAGCAAGGTCTACATCAGGGGTCGGCAACATTCGGCACGCGGCTCGCCAGGGTAAGCACCCTAGCGGGCCTGGCCAGTTTATTTACCTGCTGACGCGGCAGGTTCGGCCGATTGCGGCCCCCACTGGCCCGGGATGGCGAGCCGCAGCCATTGGGGGCCGTGATTGGCCAAACCTGCCGCGTCAGCAGGTAAATAAACTGGCCAGGCCCGCTAGGGT